GCTTATTCTGGTACTTACAAACATCGGACCAAATTTATAATACCATTTCATGCTCACGAAAGGAATAAAAATGGATTCCTTGTTTTCAATTAGAGCTCTAGCAATATGTACATCGGTGAAAACTGCATTTAATTCCATACATTAGCTTTTGCGTGATACGCTTACAAACATACAGACAAACATACCAAAATTTTATATTTGGCTTCTGTTGAACTAATAAACCCCCTATTAATTTTTCTTTAACATCTATTATCTATAGATATTATTCTCAAATACTCTCGTTTGATACCCATATGGCAACGCTTAGTTTATATTATAAATTTAACTGAATTAAAGTTTTCAAATAAGTGGCAACCCGCTTCAAGAATATTTTCAAAAGTAAGCTTCCTAATCCTCTTTAGTTTAATATTGGTATTGCAATATTTCATTTATTTTACAACTTTTAATGAATACAATTTTTCAATCAGTTGGCAAATCCCCTAAAAATATTTTCAGCATTAAAATTTCTTAGCTTATTTAGTTTGATGCCAATAATGCAATATTTAATTTATGCTATCAATTAAATTAATTTAAAGTTTTCAAATAGGTGGCAACCTTCCACAAACATATTTTCAGCTGTAAGCCTTTGTAAATTTCTTTCTTTTGACAGCCATACAGGTGGCTACACTCTAATTTTTCTTCTATATTGGAAGCCAGATCTCTAGCGATACATCGGTGAAAACTGCATTCAATTCCATGTTTCCCCTGATGCGCGTACAAATATAGAGACAGACAGAGATTCCAAAATTATAAAAATTGTTTTTTTGGCTTCTGTAGCTTTAATAAAAACCCACCATATTAATTTTTCTTTAATATCTATAAGGTACAGACATGGACCTGTTACAATTTTATTATATGTATAGATGTAGATATAGATTTCATTTATTTTATCAATTTAATACAATAATAATTTTCAAACAGGTGGCAGCCCTCCCTAAAAATATTTTCGGCAATAAAATTTCCTAAACCCGTTCAGTTTAATACCCATATTGCAATATTCAATTTATCTTATAAATTAAATTAAATGTAAATTTTCAAACAGGCGGCAACTCTAAAAAAAATATTTTTGGCTGTAAGCCTTCTTCAGCCTCTTTCTTTTGACGCCCATATTGCAATATTCGTTTGTTCTTATCAATTTACTTAAACTCCAATTTTCAAACAGGTGGCAACTCTCTAATTTTTTTCTTCCTATATTTTAAGTTAGACCTCTAGCAATACATCGGTGGAAACTGCATTCAAATCCATGTATTCGTTTTCGAGTGATGCGCGAACAAACATACAGACAAAAATTCTAAAAATGGTTGATTTGGCTTCTGGTGTTCTAATAAAGACCCCCCACTTTAATTTTTCTTTAATATCTATAATGTACAGACATCGACCTGTTACAATTTTATTATATGTAAAGATTTTCCATCCCTGATGGAATATCAGCTGTAAAAGAGGGACAGAAACAAACAGCTGATTGCTCTTTGTTCAATAAACATACCTCCAAGTTAAAGTTAAACATAATAATTAATTGGCAATTAATAAACTGAATTTTTGTATGATAAATTGGATAACAATTAAGGCTTAAGTTAGTGAAAAGGTTCTTAATTGCCAATTAGGCCCCTGTTTGAACATAGTCTTATGCATTCCCCTGGCTGATGTTTGAACCGTAACCTGAGATCGTTTTATTTTCAAACGTAGTGAAAAATAATAATAATCTTTTGTAAATTTTGATATCAAATGAAACGTAACAAACAACCTGGGTCTTCACACCGAGCTCGGTATTCGGAAACTCGGTGTCTGGTAATATTTTATAATGTATTTTGTTTGTGTAAAATAGCATAACACAAACAAAATACACGGGAAAAATTACCGAACACCGAGTTACCGTGTACGAAGCTGCGGTGTAAAGACCCAAAATATCTACGATGCATGTAACTTGCCTATGTATCGGTGTGTAGCAGGACAACGTCTGCCCGGGCTTACTAGTTTTTATATCCGAGCGCACTTGCGCACAAGATTATTATAACTTTGTTCACAAAACGTTTGTTTGTACCAGGCAAAACGCGTCGAGATATATATAGACTGATATATACATAAATGATAGAATGAAAAGAGAAATCGATTAAGCCATGTCTGTCCGTCCGTCCGTCTGTTCGTGTACACGATAACTCGACCAAAAATCTAGATATCTTAACGAAACTTAGTACGTAGGCGTAGGACGGATGATATTGAAATTGGGAAAAATCGCACAATAACCACGCCTACCTCCCATATAACGGTAATTTTCAGAAATATGAAAACTGCGATATTTTAGTAACTACTAAAGATTATTAACTCAAAATTGATATTTACAATAACTTTTAGACGAAAAATAATATTATAAATTTTCGTAAAATGGGCGTAGCCACGCCCACTTATGGTATATATCTTGGTAACCCCTGCGCCAATTTCATCTAAACTTTGCACAATTGTTGGCCTTGGTACAACATACCAAATGGCCGACATTTTTTAAAATCCCATCCCAAATAACGGTATTTTAGAGAAATACGGAATGTTCGATAAATCAGTAAATATTAAAGCTAATTTATGCAAAATAGATGCTTGCAACAATTCTTTACCAAGAAATATACTTATGATAAAATTTTGGAAAATGGACGTGGCACCGCCCACTTATGATCACATATATATATCTCGGTAACCGCTGTACCAATTTGTACCAAACTCGGTATGGCTATTGTGCTTGTCACATAAAAGCAAAACTTTGAAAATTGTGGAAATCGGACTAAAATTACGGCTGCTTTTCATATGGCGGTAAATGTCAGATGCGTTTCTTTTACTTTACATCGGATTCAGATTGTGTAGCGGCTTTTGTTCGTATTTCTTTACTGACGACCTACATAATTGAGTGGTTCACAAGGTGTCGTAAGTGTCGTATTGTCGTTTGTCGTAAGGTTTTTAACGGCTAAATAAATGTTTAGAGGACTTAAAATCACCACCAACTATTTTTTAGCGGTGGGAAATTTCATAATAAAACCTTTATGTTCCCTTGCGAATTCCTTAAATATAGTTTTAGCCGTTTAAAGTTTATGACATACAACAGTACGACAGTATACAACAACATGTGAACTTCTTAACTAACTCTACAGCTTCTAAAACTTTTTACAGACAATACACATATGAACAATTTTAACCTTAAAGTTATTGCAAGTAATTAATTGGCTGTCATAACATTTGCCAATGTCTCGGGAAGTGTCTAAATATACCTGCAAGCAGTGGGAGTGATTACGACACTAGCAAACTATAACAACTAATATATTCATTCATGTAAATATGTATGTATATATGTATGTACGTACCCACACTTGTCCAGTTTCGCTAGATGCTGATGCAAACATTTTGCTGTAATTCAATTAATGTCAGACTTCTTTCAGCTAACAGGAGAGTCTCGTAGGAACCGGTTTTTTTAGTTTTTACGATTGCGTTTTGACTTATTTTCTTCCTTTTTGTTGCCAAAATTTGTTTTAATCTTCTACTTACCCTTCGTATATCGATCTCATAGTTGTACATAGGTACCTGTCAGGGGCGCACCCAGGAATATATTTTAGGGGGGGTTTTATATTTCTGAAGATATATCACCGGAAAATACTGAAAATTTGCTTGATAATACGCTCTTTCAAATACATTTATGCAAGTTGTATGTACAGTATGTAATAAAAAAATAAACGTTTTAAAATTCATAAACTGCACTTTATTTACATAAGACTAACAGAACTCAAACACTTTTAACCGACTTCAAAAAGAGGAGGTTATCATTTCGCCGGAATCCATAACTTTTTTACCACGTGAACCGATTATTGAAAATCCTTTTTTTATTGGAAAGATGGTACCCGTAATTTGGTTTAGAGATCCGATGATTGGATCACGAAGAAATTAACGGTACCCCTAAATTTGTATATCAGAATTGAAGTCGGTTGTGTTCTTTCCTTAAAAACTACTTGTTTAATAAAAAGTTCTATAAACTCAAGATGCGCTCAAATTTCAAAAGTACCTAATAAAAAATTTTAAAAAAGTGTCAGTAAAAATAAATTTATTGATTCCGTGAATTTTTGCATTTTTATGTTCATTTTTTCGATTTCTGGTTTCTAGTTTTCGATAGGTGGTGATTTTTCACGATTGCTAAATTTTTTTGATATTTCGAGTTGCGAAAAAATTAACTGAACTCTCAAGAAAAACGAAAAATTCATATAAAACGACGAACGAGAAATGGAAAAGAAATTTTTTTCTACCAAATTTTGATAAATCAGTTTGCAGCTCTCAAGAAAAAAATGCTCGTATATTTATTTCCTCATGAAAATTTACAGCAAAAGCAAAGCGCTTTTTCAAGCAACAGAAATTATAATAAATATTTCTTATAATTTCCTTGAGTTTGGATTTGAGGTTATTAGCTTTAGGGGGCTTTGAACCCCAAAACCCACCCCTTGTGTGCGCTAATGGTACCTGTATAGTGCTTTTATGTAGAGGGGCACTACATATGTATCATTAAATTTATTTGTTGCATCGTTGTGTTGCAACGCACACAACAAATCCAATTATTTCCGTTGTCATAAGCAATAACCACCCAAGTCGACTTAAGAAAGAATTGAGTTATATATGCTATCGCATTCCGCAACTACTATTCCATATGTATGTGAAATCCCCATCTCGCCAAGTGGGCTATTAAAAATGTTATAAATGAACATATTTTGGTTTCTCCATAAGGTTAACATTACAATACAAATATTAAAAAATTTTTTTTGGAATTCAGGTATTCCGACTTACGCGGTTATTGCTTATGACCACAGATTTTACCTTATATTTTCTCACAACAAATCCAATTATTTTACCTTATCGTTTATAATAACAAATTTGCAACTTGTCCTCGCAAACTGTCTTAAAAAAATTTCTCTTACACTACCTCCGCTTCACTTTTCTAGACGAGCGCAGTAGTGGCCTCTTGGGCACCAAGTCTGGCAGCGGCACCAGTACCGGCGGTGGTGGCACCAATCGTTGGTCTCTACTCACCCGCCAAACACCCACCACACCTGGCTACACCACCACCAACAATAACAATAATGTAGTGAATGTAAAATCATTGAATTTACCAAAAGACGACATGGGCGTATACCGTCGCAAATCTTCCGGCAGCACTACCACCCATACAAGCACTAGCATCAGCAATAGCGGCACACCCATTGTTGGTTCCCAGGTAGCCGACGCGGCCTTGTTGATGCCCACATGCGAGGATTTCGAATGCCAAGCAGCGGATGGATCAGTTTTGCTCAGGTAAGCAAGATTTCATTGCAACTAATTAAATTTTCAAGTGTGGTAATAAACAAGGGCATTCCTTAAACTGTAAGCTGTTATGTTTTATTCTAAAACCTTCAAATTTGAAAATATTTACAGGATACCTGCACCGCACGTTGTGGCCGCGCGCGCCTACCGCTTGGCGTCAAAGAAGCGCAGTACTGGTAACACCACCCACGATAGCCAACAAAAACAACATCACCCGCAGAGCAGCAGCAATACATCGAGCGCTATGGTTACGACCGCAACTGTCAGCGGTGCTGAAGCACAGCATCCCTCAACACCTGATGGCGGCGATACAGGTGGCACCACAACCAATACAGCATTGACACGACGTCTGGCCAAATTGCTTCATCAGTCGAGTATGTCTGCCTCGAGGCTAACAGCAGCCGCTTCCCCGCATGGTGATAGCGCCGCTACAGCCACCAACACAAACAATTTGCTGCCAATTATGCCAGCAGCTGCGTCTAGAGACGGTGGTAGCTCGGACGGCGGGGGTAGCTGTTTGGATGAGGCACCACGTCGACTTTCGTGGGAGAGGTGAGTGATAATATCTATCGCAACCGCCGTTGAGATACCCACATAAGTGCTAGAGGAATGCGACAAGATTTGTACTGGGCACATGTATTAGCAATAAAAATATTTTTTTTTAATATGTAAACTTTTTGAATCAAAACGTAATACCAAAGCAAATTTATAAAAAGTGGTTGCACCAGTACAAAAAAAATACACTAATGAATTATACGCACAATGACAATAAGAACACAACCAATATGCAACAAACACATAATTTTGACAATCAGTACAACCTTTTATGAATTCGCCTTGCGTAATACGTAAAATGCTATATTATTCCCTTTGCTTTTTTAACACGCAGGCGTGACTTAAGCGACTTCATATTTATTATTCTTAGCGTTTTAATATATGTAAATGTACATACAAATGTCTTCAATAATATCGATCCCTTCGAGCTGTTACAAACAAAAAAGTTAAAAGCCGTCATCGATTCGCCACCACCACTTCGCTGCTTGCTATGTTTGAGTTCCGGTCGCTTAACGAAAAATTTTGCATGTGAAAGCAACGACAAAGTTCGCTAGCACGGATAGACGATAGCGAGTTTGGTTGTACCTCATTGTATTCGTACGTTTCGCCACTCGCTAACTGTTGGCGAATCGATGACGGCTAAAATGTCCTTGTATACAAGTGCGCTTTATAGATATGTACATAAATATTTCTACCAAATAACCACATTTCGAGTTCAATTCTCCACATTCCAGCAATTTAATTGAACTTTCCACATAATCAAAATGGTATACATATGTATTTAATACTCACAGAATTTTTAATGAGATAACTGTAAATACGTTAGGTAAAGTTGGGTTGAAACGCCTACACTTAGGCAAAGGGCAGCAGGCCCATTGTGATGCCATATGCAATCATCCCCGTTATGTTGTGACGCTTACTTGGGATCAAACCATTTCCTTCGCTAACGCTCTTATAATGATATCCGCTATCTCTGCAATGTCTTGTAGAGAAGGCTTTACGTTTAGAGGGTGTAAGAGCCGGTACTTTATACCGCCTGGCAAAAAGGACTAGCTAAGTTTAACCGCTGTCCTGCGATTAGTTGTGATAAAGGTTGATTCACTTCCCTTATTGAAAATGGACAAATCCAATCTTAGCAAATAATAATAGATTGACTCACCTCATTCAATCGCATTCCCCACCTCTCCCAGCATTAATATAGTGTCCAGTGGCTTCACCAGCCTATACTCCTTGCATCCTATTTGCAGGCTGACTGTAGTGATGTCTCCAGTGCTAAATTGCGGTAGGATACAAGAGTTTGTATTAGTTTTGACTAAAATGTAGGGGCGGGGTTTCCCTTTACCATAAGCACTAAATAATTCCTACTTCAGGGTACCCAAACAACAGATCCTATTACCAGTTATCCATGGCTCTTGGACCAAAGCGTTGTGTATTTCACCTGGGGACAGTTGAAACAGGAGAGCAACAGATGCTGTTTTACTGTGATGAAGCTTTATATGTGTGACCCTCATCACGTGAATCTCGTTTCTCTACCACCGTGCCATCAGCTTCATCGTTGCTGAGAAACTCACTGTCGTTGTATGACCTCCCCAAGGACTCGCCTCCCGCAGAGTTGGATAAGGCGTACCCGCTCAGGTTCTCGATCGCTTGACATTCGTTAACCTCCATTTCATAGACGCTGGTTGGCTTTGGTGGTTTCCTGGGGCGCCGGTGTCAGTTTTGTAAACTTGAAAAGTCATCTTCCCGAAGACGCAGTTCCCGTTGTTCTCGGTCTTTGCTAGCGCCTCCAGGCTTCCGTCGTTCAAGGGCAGGACTGCTTACATTGTTGGCCGGTCCGTTGGCTCTGTCTAAGTCGAAGTCCGAAATAGTTTTCATTGCCCACGCTATGTCCTCTTGTATCTTGGCGAAGTCCACCTTTGAGACCAGAATACGCGAAGCGGTACCTCGGTCTTGATGGGTGGCCCTCGCTGGGTTCGTTTGGACGAGGTTCTTGGCCCTATTGCAGGATATTCGGTGCTTACCGTGCAGATCTTCCGACAAATGCTGTCCCGCTCCTTGTGGGAACGTATCCTTAGGGTACTTACATATAGAGAGCCGAGCGACACTAAGCTAAGTAAGTCGGGGATTATCAGATGACTTCGACTTCGAAATGTATCGCCCTAACTCGAGTCACTGCTCGCTGAACAAACAACATGCATTTCATCAGGGCTCTGACTGCCGAACCATTTTTCAGGTGGCCGCCAGGAGCGCCACAAAATTATTTCTGTAACAGCTGGAGAGATTAGGAAGAGATAGAATCCATTCAGCACTACCTATGAGAGCGCCCCGTACCCCGGAAAATGCATCGTAAGTTTCTGGTGGAGCACTTCTTCAAGAGCTTAGGAACAACTTTTGCATCGCAATAGGCAAATAGGCCGCCTAGTGAACTATTTCAATAGAGTTGCTCGTTTAACTAACCGCTTAAAGCTGTTTGTTAATTATAATCAAGAACCGATCATTACCAAATCGGTGTTGGAGTATTCCATCGTCACGGGGACATTTGCACAGCAAAAATGGATTTTCTTTTTTAAATTTACAGCAATTCTATGTTTCGATAAAGCCGCACCTAATGCACTAATTTATGGGTTAGGTATTACCAAATAGGAAACAAATGCCAACTTCATTTTATTCGGGAATATACTGAGTTGTAATACAATATTTTGGAAAAACCGCAGTATCCATTTTTGGACTCCAAAAAAAGCATTTTACTGCGAAAGAAAGTATAGATATACGAGCGTTATACATACATACCTAATGACAGTACGAATGGGGATTGCTTTAAATTCCCATTTTAAAGTTACCTGATGACAGTACGAATGCAAATTCCAGCGATTTATTTTGCGTGTTATTCTATTCGTTATAATAGTTTTAAAATCAATTGAATTTAAGACTAAAAAGATGAAAATAAAATGATAGTTTAAAAAACTAAAAACTCGCTTTTATTACAATGTGAACTAAAAAGTAAAAAATAATTTATAGAAACGCAGATTTCGTTTAAGGGGAATATTAACTTCCCTAACTTGTTTTAGTTAAACCCTTAAAACCAACCTAAAATAGGATTCATCTAATTGGCAATAAAATTAATTTTGCCAGAAAACAAAGCATGAGGTGTTTGTTAGATTTTGTAGTCCTGCTATTGACAATATTCAATATTACTAAACTGAAAATTAAAAGTTCAAAATAATTGATATCATTCACCCCAACTTTTGTCTTCCGGTAAAATTTATTTAATTGCCAATCACTTTAATCCTATTTTAGGTAGGTTTTAAAAGTTTAATTTAATGAAGTTTGGGAACTGCCTATTCCTCTTACACGAAATCTGTATTTCTATAAATTAATTTTCACTTTTTAGTTCACATTGTAATAAAAGCGAGTTTATAGTTTCTTAAACTATAATTTTATTATTTTGTCGATAATTTTTAACGGTTATGGTGGAGATTTCGTTTATATGACAGATTCACATCTTTTTTAATCTAGAATTAAATCTTACTTTCCAAATCCAAAAAAACAATCACACAGTTTTACAAAAAAAAGTGTATGCATATTAAACCAATGTTATTCGACACACCGAATGCGAATCCGAGATCCGTTATCCGCCATCACATCAGGTTCGTGGTCAGTTGAAATTCAAGTAGGGAAAAATGCAAGACAATTCTTCTGAATTTGTCCTCTAGATGACCTTGAGGAATCAAGGGACCCCCATATTCGGATTCAGCGACAACATAAACCAAATATTTTATTTTTATTTTTATTGAATAAGTTTGTTTTTCCTATTTGACCCTCAAATTACCTCGCACCTGTCATTATGGAGGCATTTCTTCCGCATGTACATATATATACGTGTATGGCATTTGTATTAGTGTAAATTTTTAATTGACTTTTTCGCTATCTTTTAAGCAAATTTTAAATTTGAAAAATTTTCTGCACTTCAGCATCAAAACCCTTTCCTAGTGATGTGTATTTCTTTATACGTTAGAAGTATACTTTAGCTGTAAAAGAAAAAATGTTTGTCTATTTAAATGCATATAAAAAGGTAGTATATGTATGTACTTATGTATTTTTGTACTTATAAGTACATATGTACGCATTCATATGGATGTACAAAGAAAAAAGACTTAAGGCCGCTTTCTCAAGTAGCTTTTAAAATCTATCTGCCATTTAAACACAAATTTTGTTCTAAAACAGGTAAAGAAGTATAAGTTAGGGTGAAACCGAACTTTATATAGCATTTTTCCCAATTCCCAATTTCAATAATATGCTATGATATATTGAAATAATTAGACCAAATCTGGTGGAAATCGGTAAGGCGGTTATCGATATATAATTCTGTAGTCATAAGTGGGTGGTGCCAAGCCCATTTAACAAAAATCAATAACCTTGTGTCTTGTTAAAAGATTGTTGCAAGTTGGCATCTTTAGTTATTGAAAGATCGGGGTATTCGTATTTCTGAAATTTAACGTTATATGGTAAGTGGCAGTAACTTTAGTCCGATTTCAAAAATTTTTAACATATGTTGATAAATGTGCCGAGTTTGGTATAAATTGATAAACCGCGTACCGAGATACACATATGTGTGTAGGCGTAAGTGGGCGGTGCCACGCCCATTTCCCAAAAATTTCGATAAAAATCATTTTTGCTAAGCGGTCATTGCATACATTGATTTAGAGTAAATTAGCTTAAATAGTTATCGTAGTTTTTGTATTTCTGTAAATTACCGTTATATGGGAGGTGGGCGTGGTTCTTGTCTGATTTCCAAAATTTTCAACCAGTTTCTTAGTGAGGTGCTAAGCAATGTTTGGTAGGGAATAGACTGCAGAGATACAGCATTTAATCATGAGTGGACATTTTCTAAAAAGTTTATAACTGTCTTACTTTATGCCGAAATTCTACTCCAAATACCAACTTTCAACAATTTGAATCCAGTATTTGCGGAAATATCTTAGTTTTTGCATATTGTG